GGGAGTGGCCACTGCACTCCAGTCTGAGTGACAGAGTGAGACCCCAACTCAAAAAAAAAATAATAATAAAAATAAAATAAAATAAACATCTATCATTCTTGTTGTTATGAAGACCCCTTAGCAAGTATTCAATCCACAGATGAGGTCAAGGTGCTTTTTTTTTGAGTCAGGGTCTCACTCTGTTGCCTAGGCTGGAGTGCGGTGGCATGATCACGGATCACTGCAGCCTTGACCACCTAAGCTCATGATCCTTCTGCCTCAGACTCCTGAGTAGCTGGGACTACAGGCACACACCACCATGCTCAGCTAATTTTTTTGAGTTTTTGTAGAGACAAGTGCTCACTGTGCTTTCCAGGCTGGCCTTGAACTCCTGGACTCAAGGAGTCCTCATGCCTCAGCCCCCAAAGTGCTGGGATTACAGACGTGAGCGACCATGCCCAGCCAGAAGGTGCCTTTTAATAGAACACAAGCCCTGTGTCAGAGGGAAGGCGTTCTGCTTTCAGAAGTGAAAACTCAGATTTGTGGTGGCTTGAACACGAAGGGTATTCATTGCTGACTTAGCCAGAAGTCTGGTTTGGAAGCTAAGACCTCGGTTCTGGCTGTTCCTCGCATGACAGCTTTTCTGCCTCATGCCACACACCTCATGGTCACTGGATGTTGCCACAGCACCAGCCACCACATGTGTGCTGCTACGCCCAGGAGAAGGGACAGAAGGCAGTGCCAGCCATGGCCGTCCCTTCTATCAGAAATGCAAGCCCTCTAACAGACCTCCTCAGACTGGGTCACAGAGGCCCTCCTGCAGCAAGAGTGACTGAGAAAGTGAGTGTCCAGCTTTCAGACTCTGAAGTCAAAGGTGCAAAGAGAGGCAGGAGCCGGGACGGCTGCTGTGTGAGCGCGTCCATCGTGACGGTCACAGCTGTCATGTGTAGAGCCCCTTCTGTGTGCACAGGGTGTCTTCTAGAAGCTTTCCATCCATGAATTTGTCCTCATCACCGCTCTGCCGGGTCAGTTTTAGCTGACAGGTGGAGAAGCAGATCCCCCGAGGTGAGTGAGAGTCGTAACACCGGTGACTGTGACTGCAACCCTGCTGTCCTACGGTTGGCTTGGCGCCCACCACCTTCATGTGACAGTCACTCTGTCTCACGGGTTCTTACCAGCCCTCAGGGTAGCCCAGGAGCCTGCATCCTGCAGAGGAAGGCGTGGGGTGCCCAGGGTCCCAGACCCCGCCACATATGGCCTGTGTCCCAGCAGAGCCTTGGGGTCCCCCTCTTTCCGGTGCTGCTGGCTCTCAGCCATGGAGGGAAGGGGGTGGCCTGGCCGCAGCCAGATGGCGCTTCACCACTTGAGGTCAAGCGGGCTCAGATCCCTCTTGGAAGGAAGCTGAGCAAACCATGCACCAACATCGACGAGTCACACTTCACGGAACTTAGAACGAGCCTGGGGCAAAACATCACACAAACTCTATTATTCCTCACGATAATCCTGCGAGGTTATGGGTGCTAAGACCCCCATCTTCAGGTGTGGGAGCAGAGGCACAGGCCACTTGCCCAGGTTCACACAACTCCGTGGTGCCGGAGCCAGCATTGGAACCCAGGCAGCCTGGTGTCCGAGTTCATGCTGGCCAAACTTTCATGATGGTGGTTCTTCCCTGAATCTGCTTTATTTCTAATCCACATCTAGCCTGTTTCCCAGGAGAATTGGGCTGTCTCCCAACACAGGCACGTGGGGGGGTAGCTACAATCAGAGAGGGAGGGAGGGAGGGAGGGAGGGAGGGTGAGAGAGAGGAGAGAGAGTGCACACACATGAGTGCACAGAACCTGAAAAAGAGGAAGACCGTTGTTCCCCAAACAAGAGGACAAGGCACTTTCGGCAGTTGAGGGTTAGCTTGAGGGGCTAGCTTGGTGGCAGGCGAGGCTAAAAGGGAAACGGTGGATTCATTAGATGAAAGGAAGCTCATTTTGGCTACGAGACAGGAAGCCCGTGGTTAGGGGAGGGAAGTTCCTTTCCCAGCAGAAGGGCTACAGGGTCCGGTCTTTGCTCCTGTCCTGCGGCACCGGGGTTCCCCGGGACACAGCCAATTGTATATTATCGGTCTTTCTATCTAATATCTATATCTTATGTACCTATACATATCAGGGTGGATGGGAGCCAGGCCCCAGTGAGCTGGTTCCCATGACTTCCACGCTGGCTGCCTCTGCGGGGGTCCTGGGCAACCCATCCTCCCACCCAGGTGAGTCACTGTCTCACTGGGTGGGTGCCAACTATGGGCCAGGACCCGAGCTAGGAATGTGAGCTGACACGCACATGTCAGCTTCACATTTCCCGGGGAAGAAGCAGAGGTCTGGGAAGGCCGAGTGGTTCGTGGCCAGAGTCACACGTCTGCGTCCGCATGGCACTCTCCTCCTCATCCCTCAGACCCGAGGCCACACCACCCCTGTACCACGCTGCCTCCCGTGGCCAGTCAGACCTCTGCCTGGCTGGTGACACAGCTCAGCCTCAGAGGCAGCCCGGGTCTGGGACAGGGAGTGTGTGGAGACCCAGGTGTCCTGCCTCCGGCCAGGGGCAATGCGTCCTGCCCGCCGACCCCTCACCTCACCACTGCCCTTTCTGGAAGGCAGGGCTCCACACCTCACACGCCCTGCCAGCCTCACCTCACCCCACCACTGCCCTTTCTGGAAGGCAGGGGGAGGTTTCCTGGCTTTGCAGGACGGGTTCTGGTGCTGCTGTGTGGCCGGGCTGGAATGAACAATTTGTTCTTCCTTCCCAGCACATCGTAAATCCTGGTGGGAGACTAAACATACCCTTGGTGGTGTTTATTCCTGTTGGAGCCTTTTGGCAGGAGTTGGGGCCGGTTTCCCCGTGGCCGCTTGGGCAGGTGGGTGGGTGCGGACCCTGGACTTCCCCGCCGTGGTCTCAGGGTTGCCCTGTCTCCTCCCCTGCTCCCAGCAGCCACTGCATGGTGTGGGTGCTGGAGGCCCCTGCAGGCAGGCAGCCTCTCCAGCCTTGGGCTCCGCCTCTGGGAACAGGAGAGTCCGCCTGGCCCCCATGCCCAGGGCCGACCCGAACCCAGGCTGTGACCCTGCCATTGATAAAATGTGGAGTGGTGGCCACGGGCCTCAACTGGAGCCGCTGCCCTGAGGTCCCTGGCAGGTCATCAGCCTCCGTGGGCCTCTGGTTCTTCATTGTCTAATGGTAGCAATGACACGGGGCGATTCTGACGTCCAGAAAACACTTGGAAAACCCAAAGCAGCACTTGCAACTCGGGGTAGCAGAACAGACCCCAAGTGGAAGCCGGGCTGTGATAGTCGCTGCTTGCCCCACGCTGGTCCCTTGGGAAACTTGGCCGGGAGTGAGTGCGTGAGGATCCGTGAGAGGCAGGCCTCGCGCGTGCAGTTAAGACCCCCGGCCGCCGCCTCATCTGACCGTTTATCCAACCTCTGTCGGGGGCACAGCCAGGCCTGGGATTCAGGGCCCTGTGTTCTAGGGCGGGCCCTGCCACCGATTGCTGTGTGGCTTTGGATAAGTGACCCAGTGTCTCGGAGCACAGCTGATCTCTTGGGCTGTGCCCAGCTCTGGCAGTCTGGGATTCTGACTTGGTCACCCCAGACAGTGGAAGGTGGGAGGGGGTCAGGAGGAAGAAGGAACTGGTTTCCTGTGATGCGCTGGACACTTACACAGCCCAGGCCGTGAACCCTCCCACCAACCTGTGCAGGGGAGGCCTCGAGGGTGGGGACAGCGGCTGGGCCCCAGGAAGGTCCGGCAGGAGAACAGTGACCCCTCTCTCCCCCTCCCTCCCTCCCTCACCCAGGAAGCCCAGCACAGCCCTCGAGTTCCTGGGGACAGTGTGGCTCCCCATGGATCATCTGTGGGCTGGACTGAAACTCCCTGACCCTGTGGCTTGTGTTTCTGAGGACAGGGGTGGGGGGATGCAGCTGGAGCCCAGGAAGGCAAGAGGTGACCTTCCCTCTCTGTGGAGAAGGGAGCAGGGGACGTCCAGGCCACCCCTCAGGGAAGGGACTGTGGGACATAATCTCGCAAGCACAGATGGAGCACTGGCCCTGATTGAGCACTCGCAGCTGAGCTTGAAGGAAAGACTCGGGTGAACTCGAAGAGTAACCCCCTTCCCTGCCAGCAAAGCATTTGGCCACATCTCGCACGGGACACGGAGAGAGGATGCGAAGAGGCAGGTCCGTTCCCCCGCATTCGGTGTGCCTCATTATAGGGGCGACCAGGCACGTTGGAGTGATGTGCGCAGAGGGGAGTCTGCACACCGCCCCACGGAGCAGGCTTGGGAGCCAAGAAAGCCTCCAGGAGCAGAGGGGTGCGGTGCCCTGAAGGTATGGTCTCGTCATGACATTTGTCCTGAGAGAGGGACTGGATTTG